GGAGGTCGGCGCACTGCCCCGGCGTGGGGGGACCCGCTGGGCTCCGCGGTGTCGCTGGTGCGGGCCCGGCTCGGGGCCGCTCTCAAGTTGGAGCCGGGCGCGGGGCACCTCCGGCACACGCCGGCGGAGGGGAGAGGCTGTTCCCCGGCCGGCTCCGGCGGCGCTGAAGTTGCGGGGACCGCAGGGGGCGGCTTGTGCGCGAGGCGGGCAGGGGCTGCGTCCTCGCCCGCCGGGGGTGTCTGTCTGCCCGCCCGCCCGTCTGTCCCGGGAGGTCCCGCGCTCTCCTGATCCGCGGCCAGGCCCTTTCGCAGTTCCCCGCTGCCCCCCTCCTGCCCGGGACCTTCACGTGGCTGCTCCCAAGCGCTCGGCAGTCCCGGCCCCTCCGGGACAACCGCTTGTTCCCCGGCTTTTCCTTCAGGTGCGAGCTCTAGCTCGGGTATAGGGAAGGCCTGGAGATGGCGGGGGTGGAGAGGGTGAGGAATAGGTGTCCCTTTTTCTTGCCGATCAATAGTTTTGCGATCTGTTTTTCTTAGTTGATTGGTTGGGGGAAGTGGGGGGAGCCCTGTCTCTAAATCCAGAAACTGCTGGAGTTTAAATAAATTGGCCCCCAGGCTTTGGCTGCCCACCCCTCACCCGTGCCGAGGAGCCCGTGTACAGCAAGTGCCTGCGTGTGAGCTCAGAGCGCAGGCAGCCTGCGAGGAGCCGGAAATATGTTACATTGATGTTTGGCATAGCTGCCGTCAAGTTACAGGTGAGGGGAGGTTGTCAGGAAGGGTGTATAGGGGGGGAACGCATTAAAAAGTGAAAATGGCAGGAGTACGGGGTAAGACAAGCTTTCTCGGGGATCTGCATGGGGATAGCGATCTGCTTCCCAGGGGTTTTGCCAGGGTTGATGTAGTTAATATATGAACAGCACATCGAAAAAAGAAAAGAAAAGTGCTTTATAAGTGCAAAATATTATCTGTAGCAAGTGGCTGGTGCCTTTTGACTTTCAGGTGGATTGGGGTGGGGGGGTGGTGGTGAAGTAGCTTTTTGTTTTACTTTTTCCGTTTTACTGTGTTTTTAAAGGTTTTGGATTAAGGTAGTCTTGGCTGAACTTTCCTAACTTGAAAGGATTCTTAATAGTGACCCAGAATACCTACAGGAATACAGAAAATGAGATCCAGATGCAGAATTGTATAAAATAAAATGGATTAAATTAAGATGTATTTAAACATGGGCTGACAACTTTAATTGTAGACGCTTACTCTTGGTTATGTATGTATGCAATTGTACTTGCTTAGAATGGGAAAATAAGCGCTCCTAATTTGACTTTGTTAATGTAACATTTAACACTGGAGAAGAGCTTCTAAATATATTTCCTATTTAAAAAAAAAAAAAAAGCTTCAACAAATGTTTATTGATTAAAACATAGTACTCTAAAGTATCTATCATGTAAATTAAATTCTAGAATGTAATGAACACAGCCAAATGGCATTTTGATAGATTGTTCTATTCTGTTTTTGGTAAAAATAGCTCACTTTTATCATAATTTAATTCCTGTGCATACTGTAAAACCCGTTGTGGAGTATTAATGTATAAACCTTAATTTCGTTTTTGCAAACTAAAAGTGACAGTCTGACTTCAGCGAGGATAGGTTTCTTTTTGAGCCATCCTGGCGATACATGTTTGGACTCACTAGAGCACTTCTGCCTTATTCACTACTTATTACAAACTTTATACAGTTTGTGTCCTGGGTGGATCTTGACTGCATACCCCTTGGCTTCACTAGGGAATCTGTAGGTCATCAACTTTGTACAGTTTTTGCCTGTGGAGGTATTTTGAGGTGGAGAGCACATTCAAACAACCTCTTTCTTCAGGTGCAGGAATTAAATATATTTTATTATTTATTTCAGATAACCTTTTATCTGTATGTTTATGGTGAATTAAAAGCAGAATTTATGCTATATTTCAGGAAAGCCAGTGCTTTTTTTTTATGACTCAGTATTTGGGGTAAAGTTGAGCTTTACAGCACTTTCTGCAGGTGGCATTTTCCCACATGTATGTAGGGTGTACTAGAGGATGGGATTGGAGAAATGTAAATATTGTCCTCCATCTGTACTTTCCTTATCCCAACCCCAGTGGGAGATTCTGCACCTTTTATAAATAACACAATCCCACCTGTGCTCTTTCAGCTAGAACGCTTCATGTAGCTTTGGTTGTAGTTTGAGACCAGCTATGAGGCTGTTTTCATTCCAAACTGTTGCTTTTTCCCTAGAAAACCTGCAAGAACTAAGGTGAGACTTCCTGATCCCAGAAATAAGGGACAAAAACAGGCATGTTCATGATTTACTGGAAGCTGCCCTTCTGGATTGTGCTAGAGAGCCCTGCTTGCCCCTGTTGAGTCTTTACCTACACAATAATATAAAGCAGTGAATATCAACACTGCAGTGAAAGTTGTTGTATCAACATTAACTTAAAAAAAAAAAAGAGCCAAGAAAACTTTGGGTTTGGCTATTATTACTATTATTTTTATTATCAATAATAATACACTCTCTTTTCATTGAGTTACTTTTGTTTATAGAAAGAATGATAATCAAGACTTGGAGGCAACCTATACAATCCAAGAGTTTAAACAACAGATATCAAATACAGAAACATGGTTTGACAGATGTCAAACACGGTCTTTCTCTTCACCTTAAAACCAGTGGTGAAAACTGCTTAAAATGGTTTTTTGCTAGTACAGGTCAATTTTACTTTCTAAATCAACTGAGGAAAATGGATGAAATCTCTACACCATTTGACACATTGTTGAAGGTGGGAAGTATATTTGAACCTAACGTGAAGCAAGTCATAGTGTACGGCTTCAGAGACAGATCCTTGGAAACTTTGGGGTGTCATGGTATGTTTTAAATACCTGGAAGGATTGTTGGAGGTGTGCTGTTGCTCTGAAGAATTTCAACAACCCTCTTGGTGTTAGGCAGTCATGTAATCTTAACTCTTATCCTGTTGTGTAAGTAAAGATGATTATCATGGAAAAGTATGGCCCTCTTAAGTCTGTAATGTTTTGTGCTAGTTATTCATCAACTTAATCCTTATATTGATAGTCTTAAGGGACAGATCAACAATATGAGACGCTCCCATGGGCACAGCATAAAATCCTTAGCTGATGGGCTTAAATAGGTATAACAAGAGGACATAATTTGTTCCTTGGTAGTTTAATTTCTGGTGGTGATTCATAAGATTGCCCAGTTTCAGGTTGAGTTTCAAGGCCAATGGAAATTGTTTGGAAAATAGGCAGTAACGATTGCATGTGAAACTTGCCAATACACATGGAATCAGAGGATGCCATCACCGTATCGTCAGTCTTGAGGACAGATGTACCTTTTAACTTTAGAAAGCAAATAGTTCTTGTAATGGTGCTAAAGAAAGCTCTTATCTTAGCAAACAAGAAAATCTTCCATAAACATTTTGTCTTGTGTCTAGGTATTGCATTACATATTGCAAAAGTAAGGATGAAGCATTAACTCAGTGTGCATGCTGCCACCAGTTGTTTAAAGTAGTAGACCCTTGATCTTCTCCATTTTCAGGTTCATAAAAAAATCTTGTAAATTGTCTGAATAGTAATGAACAGAGTTTAGATACCAAAACAGCATTTAATTGGATACAGGTGAAAGTCTTGGCATCCTGTAGCTGAATTTGATTTTACCAAAACACCAGTCTGTTTGCTTATGGTTGTGCACTTTACTTCTAATACACCAGAAGAGAAGTTAAGAATCACATCTTCCTATTAACTTCTACCTCTTCTCTTGTAAGTCACTGTGAAAGTTGTAGTTTCTAGCCTGGGGTTTAGATAGTAGTGTATTCTCATTGCTGGTTATCAATAATGGTAATTATATACAATGTACTTTTTAAGCACTTATCCAGTATGCATAGTTTGTTTAGCTTTGCAGCACAGTGATGTCTCGTATTTTTACCTGTTGCTTGGATTACAGTAGCCATCAATTATCTCCATATTGTTTGTGCACAAACTGCTTAAGTGCATAGGTACCTATTTGACCCCGCTGTCCACTTTGTAAGATAATCATGCCATATAACTGCATACTCAGTGAGACTGATTAGCACCCTCAATTTCAAGGCTTTCAAAGGATCCTTGAAATGACCAGATCCTGTCAATTTCAGGGTTGGTATTAAAAGCATACGGTTCTGAGAAACAAGGTAAGGAGCCTTAATGAGGCAGGAAAGGCTTAGTGCAGGCTGTTCCTGTAGTTAATGAGCATTGTTTCTATTGAGTTTGGATGACTACTTATTCCAACTAAGTGCATAACCTTTTTTTTCAGTCCTGAGGCTACACACTTAAATGGAATATGCCACATTCATCAAGAGAAGAAGCTATAAGGTCTATAACTACGTTCCTGCTTTCATGATCGTGGGGGTATCAGACGCAGTGAAAACAGCATAGTTCTGCTATAGCAAGAGGGTTAGGGTTTGGGGACTCTATTCAGGGGGGTTGCTTTCTTGCTCTCTTACAGTATTTTGCTTTGAAACTTTCCATACGAGTTTAGAATGGGATGCATTGATTCTAGCTAGTGTTTCCTGTGGAGTGGGAGCCCATCAGCCTAATTTATAGGGAGAATCTCTTTCCTTCCTTCCCTCCCTCCCCAGGAGAAAAACACAATATGGAAACTAGTTGCTGAGCCAGTTTGTAGAAGGTTTGGCTCTAATGGAAGAGTTACGGAGCACTAGTAATTGATCCATAGTTAAGGTTATAACTGAATTTTCATTGCAAGCTGTGTGTGTGTGTGTGTGCGCGCGCGCGCACGCATGTGTGCGTGTGTGTTAACGTTCCTTCCCTTCCTCTTCACTCCCTACCATCATAAACCTCAAAATGAAAACTGGCTTGTCCTTGAAGTAATTTTTTTGTAAATAAATTGTTTTGATACAGAATTAAAACAAGGTTCCTTCTCTCTTTCTCTTCCCTTTCTACCTCCACATAGATAATTTCTTACCAGAACTTAAAAGAGAATGATTCGTACATTTTATGAGTTTGATTCTACAGTCCTTTCCATTTTAAGAGCATTAGAAGCTTTCTGAACAAGGGCTATGCTACTGGGCCTTATATGTTAATACCAAGTATATAACAGGTAAAACAGTTGTTACAGACTTCTGGTAGACAAAGGTATTCTTTATTTGACATCTAACTTCAAAGAATATAGGGGGATCGCAGGAAAGATGGACTGTTATAAATAGGAAAGGGGTGTACCATAGACTAAGTCAGTGTTGTAGCAGTGTGCTGTGATCGTGTTTTTAACATGAACAAACTTAATGAAGTACTTGCAGGTAGAAAACATAAACTTTTTTTCCTTTGGCTTGGCCATTTTTGCCAAGACATTAACAAGTGAGGGTGTGGTAGATTTTCATTGACCTTAGATGAGCCTCTTGGACCTTAGCAAGCAACTGACTCCTCAGTATCAAGAGTGGAGAACACACTTTTCCTAGAAACTTTTCCAGTGCAGATGCTTGTAGAAGTTGCAGAACCTATATCATAGCAGAATCTATAACTTTCAGTTTGTGATCTAGCTTTCCATGTTGACCTTGTTTGTACTAGTCTGCTTTTGCTTCAAGAAGTTCTGTCAGGGAGCAACTGCTAGTGTGTATGCACAGCTGCACAGCGTTTGATGGCTTCATCTGGCTTCACTACAGCAACTGTACGGGCAGGGTGTAAAACGCACCTGTGGTAGGCACAGCTGCTTGAAGGGGCAATGGCAGTGG